GCCATTGCATAACATTCCACTTCTTTCCCTTAAAAAACTCTTTGGTTGCTTTTGCAGTCTGCTTTGGGTCATTGTCCATCTGCACTGTGAAGCGTCCAATGAGTTGTGAAGCATTTGGCTGAATATGAGCAGATAATATTCCCGAAACACTTCACAATTCATCCGGCTGCTTCTGTCAGCAGTCACATCATCAATAAATACAAGAGAAGCAGTTCCATTGGCAGCCATACATGCCCACGCCATGACACTACCACCACCATGATTCACTGTTGAGGTGGTATGCTTAGGATCATGAGCAGTTCCTTTCCTTCTCCATACTCTTCTCTTCCCATCACTCTGGTACAAGTTGATGTCGGTCTCATCTGTCCATAGGATGTTGTTCCAGAACTCTGAAGGCTTTTTTTACATGTCGTTTGGCAAACTCTAATCTGGCCTTCCTGTTTTTGAGGCTCACCAATGGTTTCCATCTTGTGGTGAACCCTCTGTATTCACTCTGGTGAAGTCTTCTCTTGATTGTTGACTTTGACACACATACACCTACCTCCTGGAGAGTGTTCTTGATCTGGCCAACTGTTGTGAAGGGTGTTTTCTTCACCAGGGAAAGAATTCTTCGGTCATCCACCACAGTTGTTTTCCGTGGTCTTCCGGGTCTTTTGGTGTTGCTGAGCTCACCGGTGCGTTCCTTCTTTTTAAGAATGTTCCAAACAGTTGTTTTGGCCACGCCTAATGTTTTTGCTATCTCTCTGATGGGTTTGTTTTGTTTTTTCAGCCTAATGATGGCTTCACTGATAGTGACAGCTCTTTGGATCTCATCTTGAGAGTTGACAGCAACAGATTCCAAATGCAAATAGCACACTTGAAATGAACTCTGGACCTTTTATCTGCTCATTGTAATTGGGATAATGAGGGAATAACACACACCTGGCCATGGAACAGCTGAGAAGCCAATTGTCCCATTACTTTTGGTCCCTTAACAAGTGGGAGGCACATATGCAAACTGTTGTAATTCCTACACCGTTCACCTGATTTGGATGTAAATACCCTCAAATTAAAGCTGACAGTCTGCAGTTAAAGCACATCTTGTTTGTTTCATTTCAAAATCCATTGTGGTGGTGTATAGAGCCAAAAATGTTAGAATTGTGTCGATGTCCCAATATTTATGGACCTGACTGTATTTAAAAAGGGAAAGTTCCGCTTTAAGCCTTTATCATTTTAACATTTGTTTTTACTTATATTTGTAAATGCATTCCAAAAATGTAGATGAAATGTATTTTTAAAGACATACATTATATCTGAAAATGTATTTTTAAAAAATAATTTTCATATATTTTTTAATATACAAAAAAAGCATTTCAACATACAGTATATATATGTATTTTTTTTTATATATTTTGAAATATATTGAATACGGCCAAAATTGTAGTGTTTCAAATATATGTCAATATATTTGTGAAGAATATTTTAAAATATATATTTCAAATATTTTTTTCTTCCATGTGGGCGGTGGCATGGGGAACTAAACATTGACAATATGGGAGTGAGAACAGAGAGATATCTCGATCACAAATGATATACAAGTATAAAAATCTAAGATATTTTACTGCAAAGAAGATATATATATCGATGCAGATAATGATTGATTGATTTCTGACTTCTGAAGCTGCCTACCCCCAAATGTGGCTGCCCTAGGCAGGTGCCTGCGTGCCCTCCCCCCTGGCTCTGGCCCCAGCATGATGAATGTGCCTGCTGCAGCCTCTTGTGCTGCGATCCTGGCTCCGCTCGGTGTGTACAGACAGGATGAACCATCTCCAGCATCACTTACAGTCATCTCATGGCTTCTCGGAGGAGCTGGAGTTTATTTAGAGCACGGGGGGGGGGGGGTTCTGGGCTGACAGTCATCTTGCTGGGAAAGCGCCCCACTTAGGCACATAACAGGTAGCGGTTTGTCAGCTCTCCTCTCGCTCCATCACTCGGCATTAACACGCAGGATAATAGGAGGCTCTCGTTGGGGGGAGGCACTCAGGCTGCTCCGAATCATCGAACGCGGCCCTTGTCATTGTTGTCGTGAGCTCGTCCTTTGCTGGGATCCGGCAACCTTGGCTCAGAAACCTTGACTTCCCCTTTTCCATTATCAGCGTGTTAATATAAATCTGTCCATTTTTAGGACATGCCTTGTTGTAGACCCTGTGATGTCATCACTGGGTCTCTGTGCTTCTCTATGCAATGCCGGCAGATCGTGGCTGGTGGGCGTGGCCAGAAGGGTGCCGTTACATAGCTTCCTGAAAACATCCCAGCACCCTGCCTCAGTATTGTTCTCAGGAGCTTTCAGTCCTGATGCAAGCAGTGGGCAGGCTCTTGGGAGGAGTTATGCAAATATCACAGTGGGTGTCATTCTGGATAAGTGGGCGTTCTTTGCATGCAGGTTGTCCTGGGTACCGCCCACATGTCATGCTGAGCCTCTATGATTGAAAAAACTTGATCTAGTGCATGAAAGGGGAGGCCCAGGGTGAGTATGGATGGGGAGGGAAGAGTTAGATGATACTGGATGTGCTTCCTTAGGTCACTTGCTGAATTGGTAGTATCCACAGACAGCGTAACTCTTCCATAGGGCACTTGCTGAATTGGTAGTATCCACAGACAGCGTAACTCTTCCATAGGACACTTGCTGAATTGGTAGTATACACAGATAGTGTAACTCTTCCATAGGACGCTTGCTGAATTGGTAATATCCACAGGACAGCTGTAACTCTTCTATAGGGCACTTGCTGAATTGGTAGTATCCACAAAGAGCGTAACTCTTCCATAGGGCACTTGCTGAACTGGTAGTATCCGCAGACAGCGTAACTCTTCTATAGGGCACTTGCTGAATTGGTAGTAACCACAGACAGCGTAACTCTTCTATAGGGCACTTGCTGAATTGGTAGTATCCACAGACAGCGTAACTCTTCTATAGGGCACTTGCTGAATTGGTAGTATCCACAGACAGCGTAACTCTTCCATAGGACACTTGCTGAATTGGTAGTATACACAGATAGTGTAACTCTTCCATGGGACGCTTGCTGAATTGGTAATATCCACAGACAGCGTAACTCTTCTATAGGGCACTTGCTGAATTGGTAGTATCCACAAAGAGCGTAACTCTTCCATAGGACACTTGCTGAACTGGTAGTATCCGCAGACAGCGTAACTCTTTCATAGGACACTTGCTGAATTGGTAGTATACACAGACAGCGTCACTCTTCCATAGGACACTTGCTGAATTGGTAGTACCCACATACAGTGTAACTCTTCCATAGGACACTTGCTGAATTAGTAGTATCCACAGACAGTGTAACTGTTCCATAGGACACTTGCTGAATTAGTAGTATCCACAGACAGTGTAACTCTTCCATAGGACACTTGCTGAATTGGTAGTATCCGCAGACAGCGTAACTCTTTCATAGGACACTTGCTGAATTAGTAGTATCCACAGACAGTGTAACTCTTCCATAGGACACTTGCTGAATTGGTAGTATACACAGACAGTGTAACTGTTCCATAGGACACTTGCTGAATTGGTAGTATCCGCAGACAGCGTAACTCTTTCATAGGACACTTGCTGAATTGGTAGTATCCGCAGACAGCGTAACTCTTCCATAAGACTCTTGATGAATTGGTAGTATCCGCAGACAGCGTAACCCTTCCATACGACACTTGCTGAATTGGTAGTATCTGCAGACAGCGTAACTCTTCCATAGGACACTTGCTGAATTGGTAGTATCCACAGACAGCGTAACTCTTCCATAGGACACATCCTTGATTAGATCCTTGATTAAATCCTTCCTCTGCCCTGGGTGCTGCACACCTATGTTATTCTTACCTTCAGCCTCAAGGGCTCACTTGCATTAATGCTTTCCCATAGGAATGAATGGGGCTGCAGCACGCACATGCGCGTTATGACGCACCCATTTCCAGGAGGTTCAGTTCCAGGTTCCGCAGTGAAGATCTTGGGATCAGGGCTGAAGGTAGGTATAATGGCGGCCATACTTGGAACGAATTTTATAAATGATTCTATTGTCAATCCATTTACTGTCCAGGACAAAAAAACGACTGGAAGATCGAAAAGATCGTTCGCTGTGCCATACACTTACCATTCATATCGATCGATCTACCAACCAACCCAGCAGAACAGAAGATGGGTGCGTGGCGTCTGCTGGCGCTGCGGAAATTTACAGCAACGGAAAAAAAAAAAACCGGCGAGAAGAAGCAGGAATCGCACTGCCGGATGATGGTGTCGGGAACCCTGTTATTACAGATGATTGACGGTCTATCAGATGAAATGATCTGCTTCCATTTTATGAACTGTCAGCAAACGTCATCATTTGTATCCGGCTGACAGAAAACATCAATAGTTCCTCTCGGGGACGCTCGCTGCCTGGTGGGTACAAGGAGCCCTGAACAGAGGCAAGGATGGCGCTCGCCGCCAGCAAAATAATCGCTGATAATAACATTTCATAGCAATAAATGAACTTTACTGAACACGTTGTAGGCGAATGGAAACACAAGGTGTGCAGCCACAGCTGGAGTAGGAAAGCCTGTGTACTGCCGGCATGCTGCGGAGAAGGAGCTTTGCTCGCTGTGTGGAAGCGGAGGTCCTACTACAACGGTCTGGCATGCCTGCTGTTGAGTCAGAGCCAGAGATCCCCACTCAGCAAAGCTCTACACACCTGCTGTGCCCATTATGAGGGGTTCCCACTATCCCTGTGTTGGGTTCCTGGGTCTGTATAACTGCTGTGCCCATTATGAGGGGTTTCCACCATCCCTGTGTTGGATTGCCCTGCTGTGCCTATTATGGACTATCCCTGCTTGGGTTCCTGGTCTGTATACCTGCTGTGCCCATTATGAGGGGTTTCCACCATCCCTGTGTTGGATTGCTGGGTCTGTATACCTGCTGTGCCTATTATGAGGGGTTTCCACCATCCCTGTGTTGGATTGCTGGGTCTGTATACCTGCTGTGCCTATTATGAGGGGTTTCCACCATCCCTGTGTTGGTTTCCTGGGTCTGTACACCTGCTGTGCCCATTATGAGGGGTTCCCACCATCCCTGTGTTGGGTTCCTGTGTCTGTACACCTGCTGTGCCTATTATAGACAGTTTCCACTATCCCTGTATTGAGTTTCTGGATCTGTACAACCGCTGTGCCCATTATAAGGGGTTCCCCATCATCCCTGTGCTGAGTTCCCAGGTTGGTACACTTGCTGTGCCTAATATGAGGAGTTCCCACTATGCCTACTCTGAGTTCCTGGGTCTGTATACCTGCTGTGCCCATTATGAGGGTTCCCACCATCCCTGTGCTGAGTTCCTGGGTCTGTACCCTGCTGTGCTCATTATGAGGGGTTCCCACCCATCCCTGTGCTGAATTCCCGGGTCTGTACACCTGCTGTGCCCATTATGAGGGGTTCCCACCATCCCTGTGCTGGGTTCCCGGGTCTGTACACCTGCTGTGCCCATTATGAGGGGTTCCCACCATCCCTGTGTTGGGTTCCCAGGTCTGTACACCCGCTGTGCCCATTATGAGGGGTTCCCACCATCCCTGTGCTGAGTTCCCAGATTGCTACACTTGCTGTGCTTAATATGAGGGGTTCCCACCATGCCCACTCTGAGTTCTTGGACTGTACATCTGCTGTGCCCATTATGATGGGTTCCCACCATCCCTTCGCTTAGCACCTGTGTCTGAACATCTGTGCCCATTATGAGAGGGTTCCCACCATCCCCGCACAATGGAAAAATACGATTTTTCGGTGGACTGACCCTTTTCTTTCTGTGTACCGTCTATGACATCGTCCAGAGGAGAGGGAGAGACCTACAGAGGCAGAAGGTGTTCGTCAGCCAAGCTGGCCGCATGAACGGAGTTCTTTTTAATTTTTTTATAGATTGGTCTAGATACAGTTAAATTATATTTTCATCCCGTTTTCTGAATGAAGCCGAGGGAGTACCGCACGATGACGTCACCGATGTACAAAACACACAATGGAGGCGGGGTTTTTTTTGGTGGCTAAAACAGGCAGGGAAATTATAGGGAGCACGGAGTGCAAGTATTGTTGCAGCCATAAGCGTTCTGAATATTAAATATTTAATTGCATGCTGCAGATTCATCAAAAAAAAAAAAAAAAGAAAAACATTTTTCCAGCACAAGAGGAACAACAAGAAGCTCAGGAGAGGAGGGAAGAGGAGACGTCTTGCTGCTCTGTGGGGCTGATTCATCACTCGATGAGCTATTTCCGACAGCCGCGATGAATCAGCCCCACAGATCTCCCCCAACGTGGGGCGACGCTACGTCACATGACAGATTTTATGACAAATGCTATACACTTTCTGACTGGTCTAGGTCCCTTATTAAAGAGAGCCTGTCATAGTTACATATAGTTACATATGCAGGCCATAGCCGGGTCGAAAATCGTCCATTTAAAAAAAATAAATAAATAAAAAAAATCGGTCGTTCAATCAGCCGACGTTACCACCAACGGTAAAAAAATCTGCCAATTTTTGTGCCATCTACAGCCGGCATTTTTACTTCTGTCCCTTGCAGAGAGCTCCGCTATTATATTTTACATGAATAAAGTCTTGCGGTTGCAACAATGTATCTATTTGTATCCATTTCGGATACAGATGTTCTTATTCGGATACAAATAGATACATTGTTGCAACCGCAAGACTTTTTCATGTAAAATATAATAGTGGACTGGAATTCTTTTCTTCTTTTTTTCTATTTCTTATTTTTTCTTCTTTTTTCTTTTCTTCTTCTTCTTCTTTTTTCTTTTCTTCTTCTTCTTTTTCTTCTTCTTTTTCTTTTTCTTCTCTTCTTCTTCTTTTTTCCTCTTCTACTTCTTCCTTTTTTTCTACTTCTTTTTCTTCTGCTTCTTTTCCTTTTTCTTCTTCTTCTTTTCTTCTTCTTTTTCTTCTTCTTTTTCCTTTTCGTCTTCTTTTTCTTCTTCTTTTTCTACTTCTTCTTTTTCCTCTTCCTCTTCTTTTTTTTCTTCTTTTTCTTTTTCGTCTTCTTTTTCTTCCTCTTTTTCTTCTTATTATTTTTCTTCTTTTTCTTCTTCTTCTTCTTTTCTTCTTATTATTCTTTTTCTTCTTCTTTTTCTCTTCTTTTTCTTCCACTTCTTTTTCTTCATCTTGCAGGTCTCGGCTCATGTGCTCGGCTTCTTCTTTTTCCTTTTCGTCTTCTTTTTCTTCTTCTTTTTCTTCTTCTTTTTTTTTTTTTTTTTTTTCTTCTTTTTCTTTTTTTCTCTTCTTTTTCTTCCACTTCTTTTTCTTCATCTTGCAGGTCTCGGCTCATGCGCACTTTTTTTATCATTTTATATATAGTGCAGCGCTGAAATATGATAAAATGGTATATATAGAGAGTCTTTCTCTTGACAATAAAATCAAATGTGTGCAGGTCTTCTCCTCATTAGGTGACTGGAAAATAGCAAGATTGCGCACTCACCGACCGCACATTTAAAATGCGCCTGTGTATGATATAATCCAAAAGACCAGCCAGGTATACAGCTCCAAAGACCACACGGATCCTCCCTCTTCCACACTCTCATCCGCCTTGGGTGTAGCAATATCTCCAGATCCAGAGGTAGATAGACAGGGATCTCCCTTTTTTTGGTTCCAGACACCCCAAGAATGGAAGATGTATATCTGCACTCTCCAACAGGAGAGTCAAAGAAAAAAGGGGAACGCCAATAGTGTGGTACTATCAAAACTTTATTGGAGCAATAATGCCTGGGTCATATGCACATACATATCCATACACCATAAGCCAATAACGGACAGGTAGGTATAAGAAGGAAATTTGTACTAACCCGGCAATGGCATAAAAACAAAGACCACTAGACCTCCTCTTGGTCTCAGTGGTCTGGAAGTCACACTTGCTACTTGGCTCCTCCTGAGGCCTTTCGTGCAAGAAGCACTTCTTCAGAGGATGGACGCCACTAGCAGTGTGACAGCCAGACTTCCATTTAAAAAGCCGTTCGCGCATGCGCGAAAAATCCCGCTCTATCGATCAAAAGCGGTACTGCGCATGCGCGAATAGCGGCCATTTTGCCGTGGATCGCGGCTGTGCAGTATCAAACTGCGCATGCGCCACCCAATCGCCGCCATATTGCCATGGATCATAGGCAGCAAAAAATAGCTGCTGCTGGAGATCTACAAATTAGAACGTGAGGAACAAGAAAGCAAGCACATTTAGGTGCTGGTTCATCCTATAGATGGATACGAATACCTTCCCACCCCAAAGGGAAAAACCAAAAAGACCCGACCTGGAGTCATTTATTCAAGTGGGATGCATATATGGGAGTGCACAAAAAAGTGCCGCAAAAGCCCTCTTTGGAATCACTAACTCCATGGCATAGGGGCTATTATATCATCATCATACATAGATGAAAATAATAATAAAACTGAACCTTAAAACTATTGTGTACATATAAAAACTTCTGAACGCCCCCAAAATCGTTTAATATTGCAACCATATTCAATAGGGGCTTAATTGATAATTGTAAAATTCTGGGGTCACAATGTCCTGATACCTTATGGTCATATACTAGGGACTAGTATGAAAAGGTAAAAATGGTGTCAATCACACAGGCTAAGTGGTTCTATATTATAACCCGATCTCACCAATTCTCTGTATTGTCTAGAACCATAACCAAAATACCCTAAATAGGGCTGTTGGACATAAAAATAGAATAAAATAAAATAAAATAAACTATAAAAGACTCAGCACTATACTACGTTACAAAGTCTCCATATCCTAGCTATTGGCAATGAAACAGTTGATGTCTACCTCCACATTGTGTCCATGAGGGTAAAGGGTGCGCAATTCGTAGACCCAACGAGTTTCTGCCTGCGAGACTGTTCTGGTCTTATGAAGTCCCCTCCAATGTGGTGATACCATTTCTATACCCACAAACCTTAAGGAAGTAGGGTCACTATTATGGAACCGTCTAAAGTGATTAGATAGCGAATGGTCCCTATAACCTTTTCTGATGTTGGCTACATGCTCCCGCAGACGGTCCCTTAAGCGCCTAGTTGTCCGCCCCACATACTGCTTATTACAGGGACAACTGAGGAGGTAGACCACAAACTTGCTGTTACACGTTATGCACTGCTTGATGGTGTAGGACTTCCCTGTTGATGTTGAGGTAAACATATCTATTTTCTTCTTACGAGATTTGTCACATCTGCATATAATGCATTTGTTGCATGGATAGAATCCCTTTAAATCCCCAAAAAAAAGAAGTTTTTAAAGGGGGGTTCACAACATTTGGTGCAATGCGGTTTCTCATAGCCGGAGCCCTCCTAAACATAATTTCAGGCTTGTTGGGTAATATTTGTGAGAGGACGGGGTCCATTCTCAAAATATCCCAGTTCTTCTTTATAAGCTTTCTAACCTGTTTATATTGTATTGAAAAAGTTGTTACAAAGGGACACACTTTTTCATTTTTTCTTTGTGATTTATGTGAAAGCATCCCTCTCCTGTCAAGGTTCGCAACCTTTGTCAAGGACTCATCAAGCTCGGGTTCTTTATATCCTTTTTCGAGGAATCTATTCTTAAGGATATTTGCTTGAGACCAATAGGTCTCAAGATCTGTGCAGTTTCGTCTTATCCGAGTGAATTGGCCTTTCGGGATGTTTCTCAGCCAATTTGGATGGTGACAGCTATTCACCGGGATATAGCTGTTACGGTCGGATCCCTTAAAGAAGGACTCAGTCACTATCCTCCCATTATTTTTCTTAAGCGTAAGGTCCAAAAAATTAATCTGGTGTCGACTATAGGTATAAGTCAGATGAATATTTAAGGTGTTATTATTCAATGTTGTAAAGAAGTTGTTGAGAGCACTTTCCTCTCCATTCCAGAGGAGGAGGATGTCATCGATGTATCGCTTGTATAATACCAGCTCCGGCCAATCTCTGGCATAGATGACATCCTCCTCCCATCTGGACATGAAGAGGTTAGCGAGGCTGGGGGCAAACTTCGCCCCCATCGCGACACCCTTGACCTGTAGATAATATGATTTTTTTATCGGTAAAATGATCAGCCGATTTGCCCATCATTGCCGGGCAAATCAGCCAATCGTCTGACTCCTTTCTATTGGAACCAGCATCAACTTTTGCAGCAATTTGAGCTTCAATAGCTCTTCTATTGGATTGGACTACACAGACACATACAGTATCATGAGTCTTGGTTGACCAACAACCTGTTGCCGGTTCAACGGTTTTCCTTCTCTGGACTTTTGGTAGATCCTGACCACTGCAGACCAGGAACACCCCACAAGAGCTGCAGTTTTGGAGTTGATCTGACCCATTTGTCAATCTGTTACAATTTGGTTTGTGTCAAAGTCGCTCAGATCCTTATGTTTGCCCATTTTTCTGCACATCAACTTCAGGAAAAACATGTTCCCTTGCTGCCTAATATATCCCACCCACTTTCAGGTGCCATTGTAATGAAATAATCAATG